CACTCAAATTAAACTTGCTCTTTTCCGTTTGTAATTAGCATAATATTTTTTTTGCCTTGAAGTCTGGCGAAATGCTCTTACTTTTAAATGGTTGATAAAGAGGTGCTGTTAGGGAATCTTATGCTAAAAATTGGAAATGTCTACTTTATTTTACAATTCACAATTCCTATTATAAGGCGACACCTACAGTGCATTAAAAATTCATAATGCTTCTTTTTTCCTTGCAGACGGTACATGAAGGTAGAATTTATCAGTTGAAGCTGTTCTGTGATAAAGATTACCCTGATAAGCCACCAAGTGTTCGTTTTCATTCCCGAGTCAACATGACATGCGTGAACCATGAAACTGGAGTGGTATCTCTGATTTCACTCCCTCAGTTGATAATATGCATATCTTAGTACTTTATGTTGAACTAAAAGTTGACGTTTATAAGAAGACCAAAAGTTTTCATTTACCTGCAAATACATAGATTACCTCTGACAGCAGCCCACCGTCATGGATATCATTTACCTACAACTACATAGATGATTTTATCAACCAATCTTGCTCTTCTTCTCTTTGAAACTGATGAATTTCTACGTTATTAATTGATTTCCCAACAGGTCGAGTCGAAGAAATTTGGACTTCTTGCAAATTGGCAGCGAGAGTACACCATGGAGGATATACTCACACAGCTGAAAAAGGAAATGGCTGCCCCACATAACCGAAAGCTCGTCCAACCTCCAGAGGGCACCTACTTCTAGTCTCAAGATCATGTATACATGATCATATGGTGTGCAATATGCAAATATAGTTTGCAATGCTCTGTGTAATCCTGTGGAAGTTGAGCAAATTCCAGGAATGAACCAAAATCTTGATGATTTGCATTGCTTCATCGTTGATCAATAGTCTTTTCTTGTCAATCTGTGTTGAAAGGATGGTCTTTTAATGATGGAAATGTATCGAATACAAATTACCAAATAGTATTATCTAATTGCACTGTTTGTTTGCTGCAATACTCTCCTTTTTTTTCCCTCTCTCTCTCTTCCTCTCTCTGTGCAGCCTCGAGGAAAAACATTTGTTGATGGGATTCTTAGGAACCCTTTTGTCCAACGGCGAAAGAAGGCTTTTGCAGGAGACTGGTGAGATACCAAATCCAACCAAGCATGAAGGGTAGTGAAGGTGTCTCAAAAGGAAATGTTGTTGTCTAACCTTCTTCAGTTAATTATACAATTCTGCTTTTCAGTTTGTACTTTTAAAGTTCTTAGCTTCTCAGGAGATTATGATTTATTATCTCTGAAACTTGGAATTGGAAGTGATGATTTTTGGATAACAGGGACGATTTGGATGGTGCCAAAAAGTGTGGCTTTGTTTCTTACTGTCAATGTCCATGCTCCGTACGGCCATATGAGAACAGTTCTGGATGTCGGTATAGTTTCAACTTTATATCTATTGATTACCCCATTGATTCATGAAAATGCCTTCTTTTAATTGCTCGAGTAATCACCCTAGATTCCCAGTCAAATCTGAAATCTCTTTAGATTCTTGTTACAACTCTTATGTTGTCAATTTGATATCTTTTGTCAAGCAGAGATGCCGACTCGAATGAATTGCTATTATTTTGTTCTACTCTTTAAACATTACGGTCTATCGTTCAGCAAGTAGAAGATGTACATTTATGTCAGAAGTTCTGATTTCAACCCGACATGTTTTGACGGGTCGGGTGGCACGGTAGTCCTTTGCTTGACTTGCATTACTTAAAAGATAGCCCTTTCAGTACCTTCTCTTATTCCATTGTGTGTGTATAAGATAACGAGAAATCTGCAAAACATAAACGCCCAAAACACAATAGCAAATTTGAGTAGAAGCTATTAAGCAGTAAGTACTATTTGGAAAATATTTTGTTTTGGTGTGATGGTGTAATGGAGTTCAGCCTGATGAGAACACCTTCATTGGCCTGCTCTGTGGATGTGCTCATGGCACGTTTGTTGATGAGCGGCGTCGATATTTCGATACTGTGAAGCGGGTATTCTCATCGACTCCTTCACTTCAATTGAGCATTACGTATACTACAAGAAATTTGAGTTTTCACAATGCACAAAGTCATTGCTATAGCTAACAAAGGTTTTTGTTACGAATTTCATATTTTGTTGCGAAAGGCATTCGGTGACGAAACCTAAAATTTGTCACAAAAGGTCTTTAGGGACAATTTGTAATTCGTCGCAGAAGACATTTCGCTAGCGACAAGTTTCAAATTTCATTTAAGATTTTATCGTCAAAGACCTTTCGCAATGAAACAACAAATTCAATTTCGTCTTGCCGTAGATAATGTGTATTTAAAAGTTGCATGCACACCATTCTATTTTTTATTGTTACAACCTATTTATCTAAATTTCTTCAAATTTAAATCAACTATATAAGCACAAATTCAAAACTATCATATAAATATAAGTTTATATATTAAACAAAAAAAAGATTTTTACAACGAGTCTAGTAAATAAATTAAATACAACATGAGCTAAATTTCAACTACAATGTAAATTTGAACTTTATCTAAAAAGTCTAAAAATTAAAGAACCTGAAAAAACAAATAGAAAATAACATTATCCAGAAGATTAACTTCAAGCGAGTAAAGCAGCGGTAAAGTAAACCAAAAGTTAAATTTGGATATTCAAGAACATAACATGCTTAAGTAAGTGGAGCGAAAGATGCCAAAATGATCTCAAAATACAAGACTACTCCAATTGAACTTAAATAAACTAAAATGGTATTTAAGGGGCAAGAATGTGATCCAATGCCACAAACTCACTAGCTAAAATAGTGCTTTTAAGTTGCCAAAATGTACCTAAAATACACTAGGATAGAGTAATTCATATCCAACAAAAATATCTAACTCACTCCACATGTCGTAAACTCACCAAACGAAGCATTCAAAAGGAAAAACAAACATTCCTAACCCAAATTCACTCCATATCTCACACTCACCCAACACACTTCAAATATCGAAAACTTACCAAAACTATTTAATCTTGAAAGCATGCTTAATTCACTCCACATCCCATAATTCACAAAACTCAACTCTTAAAAGCTAAAACAAACAAGTATATAACTTATTCAAACTCACCCTAAATCCCACAAAAGCACTCGAAAACACGTTACATCCCACAAACTCACTCAAAGTAACCATTAAAAAGAAACGTGTCTAACACAGGTAAACTAACTCTCTATAACTTATCAATGGCTACCATAACTGCAACGTAGTCATACAATCTAAGTAACCATGACACTAATCAAGAACCAACTAATACCAAGCTAATAATTAAACGTAAAATACGATACAACATATAACCAAACATGTAAAGTACAATAAGTTTCAATATAGTTTTATAACACATCAAATAAATTATCCATGCCTAATTAGAAGAGACCTCTTGTGTGTTTTGTCATCGTACCATTAAAACAAGTCTAATTTAAAAACATTTACAAACTCTTAGTAATTAATTATAGATAAAGAAAGTTTTGTTTCTTAAAAAAGAAAAAAAAAGGAGAAAAACATTGACAAACTATTAGTAATTATAGACAGAGAATTATGAAACAAGGATTGAATGTAATAACATAGTTCAAGTTCATATTCATTACACTAAGAGCAAATTCAATGTAAATAAGCTTGTTCTAATACTCCTAAACTCTTTTAAACTAGTACTTTGTGCGTCAAATTAGCTAGAATTTGACTAAAGCTAAACGTATTTAATAAAACTTTTTTAATACTAGAATTTTATGCCAAAACTAGTTTAAACGTACGTAAAAGAATTTTAAGACTTTAAAGAATCGAAATCAAATTTTCAATAAAAAATTCATTAACCAATCAGATTATCTTCACATGATAGAAAACCATCTACAACCATTAAATAAATGGAATTAAAGACATGAAAACTTCACGAAAAAGTATTCATAGAGCTTACAGCATATAATTTATTGAATTACGAAATGGAAAACTAGTTAAAAATAATAATAATTTGATTTCGAGTTCGTAACAACATCGAGACATAGAGAAAAGATGTTGAAATTATACCTACAAAGAGCAACAGAGAGACACGATGGAGATAAGTGGCAGTGGCAACGACAGCGACGAACGAGCTTAGCGATAGTGAACTATGATTTCAAGATGCATAGATTACTTAGAGGGGCACCTGATTTCAAGATGCTCAGATTACAAAAAGATTAGGATTTATACCTTAGAGGAGAAGAGCACTGGCACGGACGACGGACGAGCACGGTAGTGATGGACGAGCACTACAGCGATGGACGAGCACGACGAGCGGTGGCGATAGAGGGAGGATAAGGGAGAAGGAGTGGTGAACAAAAGAAGGGAGAGAGAGAGAAAAAAACACATAAATGGAAGGGAAAAGAAGTGAGTTAGGTTAAATTGTGATCTACGCATCTCATATACGGTTCTCAGAGGGGGTTCCCCTTGGTTTACCTACCTTAATAAAGTGTATGATTGGTTCAAAGAACGTCTTGAAATTCAGGCGATTGCAGATGATATAACTAGCAAATACGTTCCTCCTCATGTCAACCTATTTTATTGTCTAGGAGGAATTACGCTTACTTGTTTTTTAGTACAAGTAGCTACGGGGTTTGCTRTGACTTTTTACTATCGTCCGACCGTTACTGAGGCTTTTGTTTCTGTTCAATATATAATGACGGAAGCTAACTTCGATATAAAAATTCGTCGTGAAAGCCCCTAATTTCGTCGTCTTAATTTTTAATAAAAAATTTGACGGTTAAATTCTTATTCTTTTCTCGAAACTTTTGGCAACAAAACTTACCTTTTGTTTTAAAAGTACCTTATAGGACGAAATATAAATTTCCTCACCATAAATTTTGAATAAAAAAGCTCATATTTTTCAAAATTTTTCAGGACAAAATAATTTCGTCGGTCGCAAAAAGTTTTACGAAAAAAATCTTAAATATGATTAAACTTTTGGCCACGAATGGAAAGTTTAAGTTCAAATTAAACATTTAAAAAATAGAATTGAACTTTTTATGTAATTAATCTCACCAATAATCTTTACATGAACAAGAACCGTCAATAAATGTATGAAATCGGTTGGTATCCCTTATAATAATCTCTCTCCCAGTGATTTTGGAAATGAGCTTTATGGCCTCGTGACAGTCCCCACATACACGAAGGTTTTTAACAACACGAATTATATGATTCTTAGGAAAGCTTATCAAACCAAATGCCACAGCCAACTTCTCACTGTGGCAGCCAAGAAAATGCTCCTTCTCCTCCTCTTCTATGTCAAATAGAACAAACTCAGTAGTCGGCATATGGCCCGCTTCTTTCAATTCTCTACTCAATTCGTCAAGTTTCGCATATATTTTCTCCGAAAACGAGTGGGATTTGTCTCCTACCAAAAACTGATGAACGATCCCATCAACCTCGATCCAACTGCAACCACGAATCTTCTGGATCCGGTGTTCCTTCATCGTTGATCGAATCTTTTCGGCTTCCTCCCATCGATGACTTGCAGAGTAAATATTGGATAAGAGAACGTAATTTCCAGAGTTCCATGGCTCCAACTCAATAAGTTTCATTAGTACTTGTTCGGCCAAGTGGGTATCTCTGTGCAATCTGCATCCACCTAACAATGCCCCCCAAACAACAGCATTAGGCTTCATCGGCATGCTGTTTATCAACTGCTGAGCCTCGCCTAAAAACCCCGCACGTCCGAGCAAATCCACCATACATCCGTAATGCTCAATTGAAGGGGTCAAGGAGAATACCCGCTTCATGCTATCGAAATATTGACGCCCCTCATTGACAAAACCGCCATGAGTGCATCCACAGAGCAAGCCAATGAAGGTGTTCTCATCAGGCTGAATTCCATGCTTCTCCACAAGACTGAACAATGAAAATACAGCTTTGGCATGCCCATTCATGGACAGCCCAACCATCATGGCATTCCAAACTACACGGTCTTTCTTTTCCATTGCTTGGAAGATCTCCCAAGCTCGAGCCACACTACCGCATTTAGTGTACATGTCAATTAAAGCCGTCCCGAGGACGGGATTCGACAGGAACTCGTGTCTATCCATCAGGGTGCTGGCCCAGTTTCCTAAATCTAAAGCTCCTAATCTTGCACAAGCGGACAGTACACCGACCATTGCATAACAATCAGGCTTCAGATTTTGTGAGTGCATTTGGAAGAAAAGATCTAGCGCTTGTTTTGGCAATCCATTGAATGCGTAGCCCTGAATCATGGTACTCCAAGATACAATATCCTTCTCTGGCATAGCATGAAAGATCAAATTTGCTCGCTCCATATTTCCACATTTGACATACATATCCAACAGAGAAGTGGCTACAAAAACATTCCTTCCCAAGCCACTATCGGTTATGTATCTATCAATCCACTCCCCACTTTTGAAATCTCCATGCTGAGCACAGGCAGAGAGGACTTTGACAAGAGAGAAGCTATCAGGCCTTAATCCCATTTCAAGTAACCTCTTAAATGCATCAATGGCTTCTCTGAATTGACCACTGCCAATATATCCAGTGATTATAGCAGTCCAAGAGACCACATTCTTGTCAGGAATATCATCGAACACCTTGAGTGCATTCTCCAAATTATCACATTTCGCATAGAGAGATAACAAACTGGTCTTCACAAACACATCATAGTCAAAACCCGCTTTCACGACGAGGGTGTGAATCTTCACTCCTAATCGAATATCAAATTTCCTAGCACACGCTTTCAGAACAAAAGGGAAAGTGAAATTATTGGGTAAAAAACCCTGTCTCCGCATCGACCCATAAACATCGATAGCATCATCGAAGCAGTCCTTGGAAACCAGGCCACGGATCATCGTATTCCAGAGGAAAATGTTGGGTTCTTTGGCCTGAGAAAATACGAGCTTAGTGTAATTTGTGGAATTAGAATGTAAGCCGCAACACAGAATAATGTTAAGGAGGTAGTTATCTTGGTCGAGGTCGAGGCGGAGAAGGCGCGCGTGGACTTGTTTGAGGTGTTTGAAGCAATGGACGCCATTGCTGAGGTAATTCTTGATTTCTAATGCCTTGGAGAAGACGGGAGAGGAAGGATTCGTGAGGATGGTCATCAAGCATCAGTCGTCAAAGTATTTTCCTTACCTAACTATGGATTTATGTCTACCATTATTTTTCTTCCTTATTTTTTTTTTTAAAAATAAGAAGGCATTGTCAATAGCTATGGGTTTTGATTTGACCACTTTTTTTAACAACTTGTTATTCTAACATTTTATTTTATTATTTAGTTTCAAATTAATTTTTTAATTGAAAGATGTTAGGATCATGGATTTCAAATAAAAAAAAAAATCACAATTACAAAATTTTTGGAATTGACAAATACCTCATGTCTCCCCTTTCCTCCATAAAGATCAGAGTGTAGAAATAGGGATAAGATAACAGAGAATGAACAATATAGCAATGGCAATAGCGATATAAGTATACTATGACAGAGAATGAGCGATGATGGCAACGATAAGATTTAGAGTTTCACATCGCCAACGAATTCCACTGCCCATATTCTTTTAGTTAATTCTTGCATTAACAAGCTCAAATTAAAAAATAAATAAATAAAAAGTCACAATGAATTTGTCAATGGGTAGTGCAAATGACCGACAAGTAGTGGGACAAGACTCCAAGTGTGGGAGAGGAGAGTGTTGAATAAATTAGTACAAAAGAAAGAGACAATCGTTAAACCTCCGGTTTCAAGTGCCTTTGACTGTAATTCAAATTTTAAAACAAAATTAAAATAAAATATCAAAATCCCACTGTTTTAAATAGTTCTTAATACTTCATTTTCTCTTTATTCCTAGATGTTTTTATTGTTTTTATTTAAAAAAAAAAGATACAAATTTAGTTTTATGTTATTTTAATTTAGGGTAAAAATAAAACTGGCTGCACCAAATACATTGTCTACACGCTTTTGTGTATTTTTGAATAACTGAGAGGGTGGTAGACAAAAGAAAAAGACAAAGACAAAGGAAAATGACAAACTATTTGGAAGGTGGAAATTTTATTGATAGCGAAGAAGATAATTACAGACCTTTTAACTTTATATAAGACCTCGATCTCATCGATTATTGGGTTCGAAGAAAGAGAAAAAAAAAAGTGATGGACCTACCCTAGACAGATGCTCTCACCTTGATCTCATATCTAAGTCGCAACACAGAATCGTATTAAGGAGGTAGTTATCTTGGTCGAGGTCAAGACGAGGAAGACGCGTGTGGACATGAGTTTGAGCTGTTTGAAGCCATGAATATCATTACTGGGGCAATTCTTAATCTCTAATGCCTGGGAGAAGACAGGAGAAGAAGGATTCGTGAGGATGGTCATCAAGAATCGCCCCCACCTCAATGAAGCTTATTATCTTTAGATAACAACGTTTGTTTCGTAGAAAAATTTATAAAGATATCCAAAAATATTTAGATTAGATAAATGTAAAGAGTGAAGATATTCGACACGTGAATCTTAATATTAATTTAATAAGTTCATTATTCAATATATCAATCGGATGCTCATTTGAATATGAGAGGAGTAACTATATCTATTTTAAACCTTTATTAGGTCATTATCTTATCAACATGGGATCCTTAAGAATGAGACCTTTTGTCGAAGGCTTTTCAAGAGACCAGTGAGATACCAAATCCAACCAAGCATGAAAAGCATTGAAGGTGTCTCAAAATTTTCAGTTAACTATACATTGGAGATTATATGCTTCATTATCTCTGATAGTTGGAATTGGAAGTAATTATCTTAGGACAATAGGGACAGTTTCTGTAAGTTCAGCAGATGACACCCAATCAATTTGTAATATAGAATCCAATATCCACACTCCATAGCCTCTCAAGGAAACTGCAATTTGTCAAATCTGAAATCTCATTAGATTCTTGCTATAACTCTTATGTTGCTGATTCGAATGAAATTGGAATCACCTTGTTATACTCTACTCTTTTAGACGTTACGGTCTACCGTTCACGTAAGTAGAAGAGATAGATTTATGTTAGGAGTTCTGATTTCGACCCGACACGGATTTTGACGAGTGACACGGTGGTCCTTTGCTCGACTTGCATCACCGAAACTATATATAGCCCTTTTGATATCTTCTCTTCTTCCATTGTGTGCATACATAGATGATGAGAAATCTGCACAACATAAACGCCCAAAAGCAATGGCATATATTTGAGTAGAAGCTATTAAGCTACAAGTTGAGCTCTCATGTCAATCAAGAAAAGTGGGAATTGGACCGCTGAATACTGCAAACTGAGGCACATGCTGTAATTTGTTTTCTTCCCTTATGGTTTCAAATGCATAGTGAATCTTATTATTAGGATTTCTTTTTTATGCAACTTTTTTAATGATAGGGAAATATAAGCAGAAGTACTATTTGGAAAAAGATTTTTTTTTGGGTATGGTGTAATTGTGGACCACCATTTGGGCATGGTCCCAAAGAAATTAATAATGGGATTTATGGTATGGAAAGTTGGCAACAGAAACCCATTTGGTTGAGCCATAAAAACATTCTATTTTTATTTGCATGGTTTTTTTTAATGTTTGGGCATAGTGGGAAAAAGGAACATTTTGATGTAATGCAATTAGGAGCTAGAGTTAGTAGATGTATGAGCCTAGGATTGACCAAAATTTGCATAAATCCTATGATCTTTGTCATGAAAATGTTTGAAAAGTTGATGGGAGTTGGTCCAATGTATCAAATCAAATAATTGGTGTGGTGGGCAAAAATCAAAATTTGTCAGTTGCATCAAATCTGTGTTAATTATTTTCAGTTCTTATAAGATTGAAGGGCACGTGCCCCCCTCAAAGTTGTCCCAGGAAAAAAAAAATCCTTTTAGTTCTTTCTTTAATTTATAGGGAAAAATATTGATTTAGATTATTATATGCGTGCATGTATATTATTTACCTTGAGTTTAGGAGTTGGATGCTTGTTATTTGCATTTTTAAGTATTTATTTTATGCATTTAAAAAAAATTGTATATATATATATATATATATTTTCCTTGTCCGTTTATAATTTACAAATTCATAACAAAAATGTTAAAAAATTAATTAATAATATTTTAGATTAATTTGAATATTTAATTGATAACTAGTACTAGTTTACAAATATATTGTTAAACACACGTTGAACAATTTTTTAAACTGAGATTGAATTACAAAATCTTCTACCAAACACATTTCTAAAAATGCTGAAAATAAATAATAAAACTATGTATTTATTTGAATCTCTTATCTTTTAGATTTATATTTTTGATCACCAACCAAACACGCCCTAAATATCTTAGTAAAAGTTATAAAAATGTTACGAATGCCGTGATGAAGGAACATGAACTCAAATGGTATTAATATTCATAGAGTTCCATCTCAAAACCAATTGACAATGAGAGGATCAGTAGCTCATGTCTATTATAAACCAATGTAAGGTCCCTTTTCTTTTATCCTTAACATGCACCTCAATATCGTGGCTCTTTTGGCTCATCGATCTTGGTCGGATTCCATTTTTGAACCAAATGCTCGTTTGAGCTTTTAGGCTCTAATACCCTGATAGCACACTTTGTGAGCTACATTTCATGAGATTTATATTGAAATTATTTGTTAGTTTTCGGTTCTTCATGACAAATTTAAACACATAAGATATATTTTGCAGGAATAAAGTATCGGGAGAAAACGAGACTTATTTGGGTCAAAATGAGAGAAAAATCGGAATCAAAGTGACCAAGATGGAATAACAACAAGATTCGAAGCCAAAAACCCGAGAATATAGCACCACGGCGCTGGCCTGGAGCATCGCGACGCTCCGAAGTTTAAATTTCGCGTTTTGTGAATATTGTAGCGCCATGACCCTGTGTAGCGCTATAGCGCTGCCACGACAACTTTTTATAAAAATAGGATTGTGCAGCCGCCGAGGAGAGGAATTTGGGAGAGGTTTTTTAGCAGTTTGTCTTTTTGGCCCATTTGGAGGGCAAGGAGATCATTGGAGAGCTTAAGAAAGTGATTTTCAAGGCTTGGGATCGTGGAGGTCGCTTCGGGGATGGACGATTGACACGCTGAACGTAGTTTCTTCTCCTTTCTCTTGATTTTTCTAGATTTGTTATGGACTTCTCATTGTGATTTTATTGTTTTCCATTGAATATGAGAAGCTAAACCTCTCATCTTAAGGATTGATGTAGCCATTGAACTTTATGCATTGATTGTTTAGTTTTCTTGGTTGAATGTTTATGAACGTTCTATTTATGCTTCTCTATGCTTAATGCCTTGAATCTACTAGCCATAGATTGATTGATTTTAGACTTGAAATCTTACGCTAGGGAGAGGTGGTTTAGAGTTAGAACTGGGATGCATAACTAAAAGAGTTTTAAGATTGGGAGATTTAGAAGTTCTTTAGAGGTCGTTAAAAGACTTGTTTAATAAAGCATTTACTTGTTATAGAAACTAGATAGGGATATTGGTTTCATAATTGGTAAGGAGATTTAGCTTGCGCTCGAGAGAGGCAGTTGAGATTTGAGAGTTCTTGGCCTATAAAATTAATAATTCGTTCAATCTTGATTAATTAAGTAGTTGGTTCATAGATTCAATAGGTGAAATCGATTTCCTAGAACGTTTCTCCCCATTGTTTTTATCTTTGTTATTGCATGTTTATTTCCTTTGATTATATTCTCCAATTTGATTTTTATTCTCTAAATAAAATTGAGCGATTGTATCTGTGGTACTTGAGTGATCTAGAAACCCAATCTAGAGGATGATATTGGTATTTGACTTACCACTTTATTAAAGCTTGACCCGTACACTTACGGTAAGCAATTTCTGCTACATACCTATATTAATATTCATGGGATTCGAAAATCCATTTTTGTTTCAACTTGAGATCCTTGAGATGGGAATATCATATGAAATCTCAATTGATATAAAAAAGAGAGAGATAAAAGAAGGGTCACTCTCACAAAGGTCTCAATCCATGGGGTTAGGAGGCTCGTGATAGAGAGTTACTTGTAGGAATAAATCCACTCAAATTTAATTTGGACCCACACATTCTTCTCTCCTCTTCAATGCTCTTTCTTATTCTTTAAACTCTGAAAGCAACCCTAATATCCATAATCCACCTTTCATATTTTGTTTTGACTAACATTTTCGAATTATTTAAATTTTCGATTTGTCTATAACTAAGATTTTTAGTGA